GGCCCCGGGGCGCGCTGCCCCGCTTGCCACCGCGCGGGGGTGTTTGACAGCTCCGTGTCTGCCCGCCTCTGTGTGTTATGCTTCGCTTTGGGAGAAAGCAGGGCGCACTAGGCTGCACGGTGCAGTGTCAGCCTATGCCCGTGGGCCGCTTTCGTCTGACTGCACCCCCTTCCGGGTAGAGCAGGATGAGGGAGCTCACGGAGTTGCGTTTGGACAGCAACTGGCTGAAATGGTGCGTTGTGGCAGAAGCCATCTGTTTTTTGCCTTACTTCTCTTTGGGGAGCTGTAGTTCATAGCTCAAGAGTGAAACATGGAATTTGCTCAAGCTATAAGTTTATTTGCAAAATCTCTATGTATGAAATGTTGTCCTGCATGTTTAAGGTCTGAATTCTTTTCATGATTCTGTAGGTAACCGTGGCAGTTTGGCCTAGGTCTGTAAGCATGCTCAGGTGCCACGTTTATATTGTAACCCTGGATTTGGGCCTTTACCGCCAAAGCATAACCCATTTTTAATTACATAGGTACAGCACATACTCTTCTGTTATGAAAAATAGAGTTGGCAACAGGAATTTTTTTGGGTGGCAAAGGTACAGAACACGCTCTTAGTTGCAGCAGTGCTTCTTTCCAAGAGGATGATGATCTTGGTGGACTGTGGACTTTTAAGGTTTTATTCACATCAGTGTTCATAACCTGCTTCAAATAAGGATTGTAAAAGTAAATCTCCAGTGACAAATAGACTCTAGTCAGTAAGGAAGATAGAATCGTACCATTCCAGGGCAAAAATCCCTGGGCAAATCTATGTTGCATGTGAATATAGGGCAAAAAGCTTTAAGCAGTGCTGCTCAGTCTGGAAACACTAATACAGGTTGTGAAAGCTGTAGGGCTCTATGAAGCTATGTTATCTGGATTTACTAAGCCTTGCGTTTTGGTAGGACTCCACGCCATATAGATGGACTTTTCCTGATTGTGAAATTGGTGGCAGGATTTCTCGAGCTTGCTTTTGTTGGATGTTGTGGTTATCCTTAAAACTACAGAGCAGAAAAGCTGAACTTTTCACTTAGTCATTGCTTCTTCATCTTTGTTGTTATTCGTATTGCAGTGGTAATTGCAGATTTAGTTAGATTGTGATATATTGTGAAGCTCCTGGACAGTTATGAAACAAAAAAGATGTACACCCCTAAAGAGCTTACGATGTAAGACAAATAACAGCAGGTGTATAGACACAGGTAGAAAAAACAAGACAGTAGTTGGATGTTATTTGTTAATGTGATGGTGATAGCAACAGAAAGAGTCTATCATCAACAATTTTTGTAGAAATAGAAAAATCTTAAAGCTGTTGAAAGATAGGTGTACAAATTTTTCGGACTAACTTTCTTGTGTTTCTTACATAGGCTGATCGGTTTAATAATGAGTTTTTTTAATATGTGCTCACGGTGAACTAAAGTCTTATTGCTTTTGGGCATCATATTGTAAGGACTGAAATGTTCCCATCTGTCAATAATGGAGGTAGTGGTAATTAATTCTGTAAATATGCGTATTGTGCACATTTTCTTCAAACCTCGAGAAAGAGAAATATATGAGAACAAAGCATTGGAAAGGACTGTGGGTCACCGAGCTTTGTCTTTCACCATCTCAAATAAGCTGCTGAAAAGCAGCTATTTTGTGGGCATGAAGGAATCCTGCTAATTATGAAGAACCAAATAATTTTCTTTGAGTGACTCTAACAGTCCTAAAACAAAATTAAATAGTAAAAACATTGTTATTAGAACACTACAGGAATGAAGGTAGCAATTTCATCCAACTGTCTGCCATATTACCCTTTACAGAATCACAGAATAGTAGGATTTGAAAGGGACCTCTGGAGATCATCTGATCCAACCCCTTTGCTATCCAGAGGGTTCTGTGTTCAAGTGTAATTTCCTGAGTTTCGTTTTGTGCTTGTTGCCTCTTGTCCTATCACTGGGCATCACTGCATATACACATTGATAAGAACCCCCCTCAATCTTCTCTTCTCCGGGCTAAACAGGGCCAGCTCTCTCAGCCTTTCCTCATATGAGGGGTGCTCTAGTTCCTTTATCTTTGTGGCCCTTCCCTGGACCCTCTCCAGTAGCTCCATATCTCTCTTGTACTGGGGAGCCCAGAACTGGACACAGCACTCCAGATGTGGCCTCCCCAGGGCTGAGTAGAGAGGGAGGATCACCTCCTTCAACCTGCTGGCAGCGCTCTTCCTAATGCAGCTCTGGATGCTGTTGGCTTTCTCTGCCATGAGGGCACATTGCTGGCTTATGTTCAACTTGTCCAGCAAGGACCCCCAGGCCCTTCTCTGCAAAACTGCTCTCCAGCTGGTCAGCTGCTAACACTTAGCTTACTTGATCTCTGCTATCTGGGAACCCAGTGCATTGCCAGGCTTTATTCTTTACTGAGTATTTGGTATATAGTCCTGATTTCATTTGCAACTTTTGTTCTTTAATGGTTTTTTTTCTTTTTTATCTAAACACAAAAAGCCCAAGTAAACAGGATTCTGACAATGAAAAATTTTGATAATTTTTTCAGTTGGGAGTTCAACATGTTTTCCTGGCAAAACCAGAATGATTGTGTGATATTCACTCACAAGAAAATATGCTTCATAACATCCAGTCTCATTAATATCTAAAAGGAGAAAGCATTTTTTGTTAAGTGAACAGAGGTACTTCTATCAAACTCCAGCAGATTTTTGGCAAACTTTGTTTTTGAATGGATGCCTCTTTTTCTTCATAATTAATCTTAAGGCCTTCACTTCAGCAGTGGAGAGGCTCTGCCTGTCTGTCACTGAAACGGACACCATGCCCAATCTCATTGTTCTTGAGCTTAGTTCCTTTTCATAGGAGAGCTGCGTTTTAGGAAGTCATATACCTACTGGATGTTAGTGCAGGTAATGTCTTATGCCAATTGGCCAACGGAAACAGGACAAAATGTAGTTTTCAAGCATATATGAGATTATTTTGATGAAAGTCTAAATGTGTATCTGTTATTGCTTTGTTTGGTTAGGTGAATGTCAAACTGCCTTCTTGGGGGAAGAAGAGAGGAGGATAGACAAGCATTTGAGCCCAGATACTCCTCCTTCAAGCACTGAAATCTTACTGGTTGATTTTTCTGGTTTCAGTTGTATCAGCTGATCTAATAAAATGTATCTTATGTCCAGACATACCCTGCCCATTTTATCTCCTTAGAAAGTCATGGCGATAACATCAGTGCTGCGCCCAACCTGGCAATACCTAACCATACCTGGATCATCCTTCATTGTGCAAGTAGGATTTTTTTTTCGTCTAATCCCCTAATGCATCTGTCATTCCAATATCAAATACTAGTCATGTTGTTTTCTCTGTGATTCTTGTCACTTTGGTGGTAGGGTGAAGGTGGAACTTGTTTATCCTTATCCAGAAAATGCTTTGTTTGAAGCTTGAATGTTAGTTACTGGTTTTCTGTTACATCCTCAAGCTGATTTTGTATTAACATCTCTTATGGTTTGATCTGGTCAACTACAGTATGTCTGTCGTGTGTTTGTGCACTCTACACCTCATCTATTCCTTGCATTTTCACCTCCTTGGAAAGTAAGAACATGGACATGCAGTAACATTAAAAACTTCTAATTTTAAAAATCTCTTAAAAGGAGTTTATTTTTTCTTTTTGTGTAGCTTGAATTGGAAAGGAAGTAAATTTTTTCTCTTCAGACTCCCTATTCAGGCTCTCTTGTCAATTTATATCACTGTCATAGCAGTGCCTTGTTTCAGTGGCTTTCAACTTTTCACAACTTGGTCTTCCTTGAGAAAATAGGCAATATTTCATACTACATGGGTCTGACTCTTCGCATCTCTTCACTCCCGTCGCTCCAGATGTGTCAGATTGGAGACCTGCTGCCCCCTCCAACCTTTGAGACTGCTATCTTTAGACTGGGGTAAAAAGTCTGCTTAACTGCGTCTGGAGCCGTTCTGATGTCTTTGTGCCACAGTTCCCAGGTCTAGGAGCATGGTGTGGACATACTCAGGTGGGCCCTGCCTATAGCCAGCATGGTTTTGGTAGTCCTTATTTGTTTATGCTTTTTGCCACAAGTCATACGTCATGTGCTACTGCTAGCCAGTTAAGCTTTATGTGCTGTTTAGGAATCAATGGTCTTAGCTCCTTCTGTGGCTTAGTTTGATCTTTGATTTTTATCCACAGCTCCCTCAATCTCATTGTCCTCTGACTTATCTAGATTTCTTTGAAGTAGCCTGACAGGAACCTTGGTATGGGAAATTTTACTGAGGCAAGTTGGACAGTGGTACCCCTTGACAGTGGTAACCCTTAAATCATGTCACATGCTCACTCCCATTTTGTATTGTAGGCTCTGGCATTTCTGCATTAGCTGCATTGCCACCTAGTTTGCAGCAGCACTGCCAAGTTCATCATGCGTTAATCCCTCATGGAAGAAGCGGACGATCCTCTGTTAGTGGCATCGTGGCCACTGTCTTTGGGGCTACAGGTTTCCTGGGACGATATGTTGTCAATCGTTTAGGTAAGACTTCCCAGGAATGCCAATTAAAAGTTCATATGCTTAACCAAACGCTGGTTGCCTTCGGGTTACAGAATAGCCATAGAAATCTCTTGCATTTTGGATCTTAAAAATTGAGCAGTGCAGTTGTGTTCTGTGTGATACCTGTGTGATAAGTAGTGGAAACTGTATAGTTGTAATGCAAGAAAATGCAGAAGCCTTTGGAGGTTACTCAAATCATAATGATTATTCATTCTCTTTCAGTTAGGTGTTTAGTGGATTGTTGTTTTTTGTTTCTTTGTTGTTTTTTAGCTCATGAGATGCAATTCTAACAAGAAGTTCTTCTGTTCTCAGCCATGTTAGGACATTTTGCTAAAATGTTTGCAGCAATCTGGAATTTGATCAGAATTCTTTAGGATTGCCCTTATGAATTTGATTTAAAAAAAAAAAAAAGAAGAAGCAGTTGTTTCCCTATTTTTCCTTCTTCCTTTCTCTGTCCAGCTTTTAAAAATGCAAATAAAATCTATGCACGTGATTATCCTTAGATGCGACGCACTTTTAGGTATTGCAGTATGTTTATAATTTGTACTAATTGAAAAGTTTTTTTGTTTAATAAGCTTATTTGATTATTAATTTGCCTAACTATTCAAGTATGAATTCCTGCTTACGAATTCCTATGATACTGTAAGTTTAGGAACTTCTATGCTACTTTTAGTTTTGCAGATGAGTATTCAAGTTATCTATGTTTATTGTTATGTTTTAATGCCAGTGAAAAAAAGGAAATGACATACATTCAGAAGATGATCTACTTAAAGTTATGTAGTAGTTTAATATAACTGAAGAATTCTTTGAACACTTAGGTCGCATAGGATCTCAAGTGATCATCCCCTATCGCTGTGATCGGTATGACCTTATGTATCTCCGACCGATGGGTGACCTGGGGCAGCTTCTGTTCTTAGTAAGTCTTTTGCTTTGGAGTTAGATCAAATATAATACCATTTCTATACAAGGAAGTCTGGTAATCATTCTGAAAGTCAGAACTTCAGCTATTGTTTAGCCTCTAAATGGAAGTGGTCTGAAAGAGCTTTTTTTGATTATGGCTGTTTGCATATTATCTCATCTCTCCTGTTTGATTCTCTGGTTACAGGAATGGGACTGTAAGGACAAAGACTCTATCCGAAGAGCCGTGGAACACAGCAATGTGGTCATTAATCTTGTTGGAAAGGAGTGGGAAACAAAGTAATTTCCCTTTTCCCCCCCCCTCCCCCATGGCTAGATTTGCAACATGTATTAGACATTGTAGCAGCATTTTACAGCATGTTTATAGTACACAGTGACACTGATATTTCACGCGCCTTCCATGAAGAGACAAGATTGAACTTTTGTGCATAAAAGTGCGTCCATTTCTTTGAATGGTTAACTGGAATTTTGGTTATGATCTGTTCTTAGAAAGTACATTCTTTCCGTAACTGTCTAATGCACAACTCCTGCTCTGTCAGACAGTTTAAATTTACTGCTTTCGTACACCTTGCTGATGTTTGGTGGGTGGCTTCTTGTAGGTGATAGGGGTTTACAAATCTCTGGGCTCATATTTATGGTGTTACAGAAGTGGGCTTTTGTCCTATCACTTTGGTGTACTGGTGAATTATAACCTAGTATAATAAGCTGCAGTCCAGTTTTTCTCATTCTCTGTTAAATGTTAATAAATGGGAATAGCTAGTGGAGTGTTCCTACAGGTATGATTAATAATGTCATTCCTCGATAGAATTTTGGCATAGATACTATTAGCATCTTAAGCAGTTTTCTTGTACTGATAACTCGCTGATCTTGATATTTATTTTAGATTGAAAATATGTGTAGTAATCTTTTTTTTTTTTTGCATGCAAATAAGTCTGCTTTATTTAAAGCCCTGTTAGTGCAGAACTGCCAGAGAAGTACTCATTATTTGTATGATTTACCTTTATTAGGTGTATAATTTTCCTATTGTAGCAGACAGAAACCAATGTAAATCTCAGTTTAATCTATGTTTATAAGCTTAATGTCTCTGTTACCTGTTTTTGTGGACGCTCATTTGGTGTTGTAGTCTCAAATTCTAAAATTAATTTTCCTAAAATAATATGTCTGCTGGCAAGCAACCATTTCAACTTATTCTTGCCTAGTCAAGTATCATATGTAACTTTTGGGAGACACTTTGATTTGGCATTCAAATTTGTAGAGGCACTTTTTTCTGATATGTCGTTTAGTTCCTTATCCCACTGCTGGAGTTTATAGCGTAGTTTAATTGGGGGGTAGGAAGACCACAACTCATCTTAACTTTGACTTTGTACATCTGACAAAGTACTTGATTCTTTTTCTCTTTTTCAGACTTTAGGATGTAGGTAATGACATACAAACCAACCTGCCAAGATTAGTGCATGCTGTTACTGGAATACAAATACAAAACTTAAAACTCCTTTTGCTCTCAGAATAGAAGTGAATAATTTCTTTGCAGCATGTGAGTGAGGGAAGAAAAGAAAATCTGTTTAGTTGCCCCAAGGACAACATAATCTCCGTTTATCATTCAGATATGTTTTTCACATGCTTTTTTTTCCTCCAGATTTCTGGACTCATGTGAAATATGTGGTTTATGTAAGGGACGGCTCCTTGTTTATTGAAATACAGCCTTCTAGAAGTGCAACTACAACAAAAAAACAAATATTCATTGAAGTTTAAAAAAAAAAAAAAAAAGTAAAAACCAAGTCAAAAAACCCAAACCTAGTCACTGTGATCTTTCAACAATGCCAAAAACAGTGAGAGGTCTTGGTACATGTTAAGGACTTTTAGTTTTTACAGTTGTTACTACTATATTGCCCAGAAACCCTTATCATATATATTAACTGCCATGTTGATATCAGTGGTGATGCTGGAACCCTGCCATATAATTCTGTGGCCAGTTAAATATGAGGTAAGACTAACCGTTGTAAAATGCCAAAATGTATGAGCAACATAAGCAGGAAAAGAAAAGTAAGATTAGAAATGTAAATGAGTAAAAAAAAAAAAAGTAAAGTCTGCCATTAAATACTTTCTTCCTCGCCTAGTACTAATATACAGTTTCATCTGTGTATATTATGTTGTTTGAGAGCTCCATAGCTACAAGAGGGATGTTGTTCATTCTTGTGTGTTTCTAAAATCTATTTTCATGAGTAGAACAGGAGTAATGGTTCCCAGGATCAGATTAGCTATTGATGGGTCTAAAATAACTTTTTAAGGCTTTCTTTAGACTCTGAAGGGATCTGAAGAGATGTGGGAGTAGATAAGGACAGAGATAGGCATTTGAACAAAGTGTCTGTTCCTCAAAAGCAGATGTAAAAGATTGCGCAGGATGCTTACAAGGACAGTATTGAAACATGAGAAGTCAGTTGTGCCCTTTTTATTTATTTATTTTTTGCTCCCCTCTCTCCTCAGTCTTGGGGTAGTTGGAAGGAATTTGGGGGTTGTTGCCAGGCTATAGAGTCAATTTTACTTGGAGACTGAGCCTCTGTATTATTTCTGATCTAATGCTAAACTAGATTACAGTTGAATCCCCTAATTTAGGCCCCTTGAATGCTATAAACTTAATATTCTTCTGCACGCTTTTCCTTGAAGTCCCTTACAGTTGCTATGAGACTGTTGTAACTGCTCCATCTATGTAAAATTTTCCATTTATATAAGTACCTGTGAGTTCTTTGGTTTGTTTTTGTCCAGTTTCCCAATTCCAGCATCTGTTTTATCTCTGAGAGTGTTCAGGATTTTTAAGCTCCTCTGTAATTGAGGGCAGATTTTGAACAGGTATTGTGGAAACAGACAGCTTTACTCAGATTTCAAAAAGCAGCACTTTTTTTTTTTTTTAAATGTTTTCAGTTGGGAAGAGTTTCTATTTGTCAACAGAGAAATGGGCAAGAGTTTTTCAAACCAATTTAATCTTCACAGGAAAAAACAGGTGATACTATGGCTATATTTGCAGCTTTCTGTTGTATTTGATTTGCATTGTGTTTTTATTTTATGAAGAGTCCCGTGGTAAAGGAACTTATTAACAAAGGGTATCAAAATAGGTTTATGAAGTATGTTCAGGTGATAACTGAACAATGAGCGCATTGCTAGTTGCTGTTGGTTGGTTGGCAACCAGCGTTGCTCTTAAATTAAAACCTGTGTTTATCTTGTTTTAGAAACTTCAGTTTTGAAGATGAATTTGTAAATATTCCTAGAAGTATTGCCCAGGTAACTAGGGAAGCTGGTGTGGAAACATTTGTGCATATATCTCACCTGAATGCTAACATGAAGAGTCCTTCCAAATACCTTAGAAGTAAAGTAAGTATAGAATTCTTTTGAATATACTTTTAGAGAGCTGTCATTTTTTCTTTTTTCTTTCTTTCTTTCTTTCTTTCTTTCTTTTTTTTTTAAACTGAATCTGTTTGAAGGAAATCTGTGTATGAATTTTCTCTACTAAAGAGTCTTTTCCTCAGCTGAAAGTACTTTAACTGTGTTGTGGACTTAGACTATGTGCTTCCTGGAGCTACAAAGCCTGCTTAGTACTTCATCTGCTTTGAAGGGAAGTGATTGTATTCCTTAAAATCCTTCCTTCCTTCCTTCTATCCTTGAATATGCCCTGCCTATACCATTGCTGTCATTATGAAAGAGGAGCTAGTCTGATGATGGACTGGGATCTGAAATCAGTCCTAACATCTAACACTGGAATGACTTAGCAGATGTAAATAAGTAGTTGATGCCAAAATGACTGCTGCAAGGACAGATTAGTGTCACGATTATAGGTCTTTATAGTGGGACTATTACCTGTTTCTGTACAAATATATATACATATATATACATACACATATTTTTTTGATCTCCCTCCCTCCTTCCTTCTCTCTCTCTCTCAAATGGCTGCTTTCCCAGTTTCAGACTTTTTTTTTTACGCCCACTATATTCTGCTGTTTTGCTTTATAGTATGAACACAATTTTCAAACCAGGGTTAAAATTTGGTATCTGTCAACGTGCAATGATTCTATAGTATAGTCAGGCTTTATTGTGTTGACCAGCCCCATGTGGAAAGCAGATAGCTGCCACTGAATTTTAAGTTGTATGTAAGCTGTTCTTGGAGTGTTCCAGTACTATAATAGGGATCTGTAAACTTTCTGTTTTCTTCCAAACTCTGGTCTGACTTATGCTGGAGAAGTACTTAAAGGTGCTGACAGGCCAGAGAAGTACCTAGTAGTTTCTTTGCTTTTTGAGCTTCACTTTAAATGTGTAACACTTCACTGATGAGACTGTATTGGATCTCAGATACAAATTATCTGCATGCTTATGGGACTTCTAGGGCTTACTGTGAGACCTGCTTCTTACCATAACATCGCAAGCTGAAATGCGTCAAGTAGAAATAGTTTTGTGCTACTGCCAGTATTATGTTATTGAGTGCTGTAGTCAGGATGCACTAAGTTCTGAAAGGATATCCTATTCTGGCCTGTTCAGAATGAGTCTAATTCACAAGTGTTTCATATGTTTATCTTAATTTAATGATAGGCTGTTGGAGAGAAAACGGTGAGAGAAGAATTTCCAGATGCTATAATTATGAAGCCCTCCGAGATGTTTGGGAGAGAGGACCGCTTTCTCAATCATTATGCAAGTATGTATTCTTGAAATAAAACTGTCTGGTTTGTATACCTTTTATCTAGAGGAGAAAGGGGAAAAGGCGGTATTTTCTTTTCAAAAAGCAGGAAGGTGTATTTTTATCAGAAATAGACTACATTTTATAAGCTGTACACTGTGTGTTTACATTACACTGTGTGTAATGAAAATATAATACATTTTCACCTCATGATTAAGTGGTAGCTTCTGAATTCTTTTTGAATCCAATTAGACTAAGTGACTGTTTGATGATTTTGTGTATTATTGCTGCTTATTTAGATTGTTCTGAGCTAACATCTGAAATCTTACCTCTGAAATTAGTTTTTCAAATTGGCAATACTGGAAAGTAAAAATTGACTTGAGTTATTCTGGGCTCGTACAGAAGCAACAGTAATGACTAATATATCAGCAGCAAAATTGCTAGACGACATAGAGCAGGATTTGTTTCTGTCTCACAAAGTTGAGAGATCTCTGAACCACTCTGAGTAAACAGTAAACACAGTTGTCCAGTGGTTGTTGATAAGAAAACTGAATGTCAGTTGAAAACAAAACAAAGTACTGAATTGGGATGGTAGGGTTTTTTTTTTTTTTTAATAAGTCATTGTTCAAGAAATATCCACAGCATAGGTGCACTCTGGATTTGTTTTGCTCTAGTGCAGTATGTCAGTTATTTGCCTATTGAAAAGATTCAGCAATTTTATTGTTAAGTTATTTATGTGTCTCTATTCAGACATGCGCTGGTTTGGTGGTGTGCCTCTTATTTCTCTGGGCAAAAAAACAGTGAAGCAACCAATATATGTAAGTTTTACTGAAAAACAAGACAATTCCAAACCTGGGGTGTGAGAAAAGAGATTCTTCTCCTCCCCAGTCCCTTCTGGAAGAAGGGTGTGCCTGTACATTCATGTTTTCTAAAGGTAAAGGTAATTTTCTCAATATGTTTCTCACAGGTGGTTGATGTTGCAAAGGCAATTATTAATGCAATTAAGGATCCCGATGCTAAAGGAAAAACATATGCCTTGGCTGGGTAGGTTGTTACTTTTCTGATTCTAATTAATCAAAGTACTTCTTTTTAGTGTCATTTTTTTGGCATGCTGCACAGTACATTTAATTTCTCCATCCATGCACACAGTTTGAGCTGCAATAAATTCCACCTCCTTTTTGGGAGGAAAAATGACTCAAGCTGTTATTGCAAATACACTGATAAACCTAGTTGGGGCCCCATTGCATTTAATGTTATGTGTATTCACACAAAGAAATAAGCAGTCTTGGAAAAGTTGCTAGGCAAGATAGATAGGTGGAAGAGAGGGATTCAACTTGTGGGCAAATAGTTTGAGTTCACCCTGTCTGATGTTCCGGGATAGGTATCTGTTGGACATGATATAAAACTTGTTTTCTAGAATGCTTATGAAAAACTGATACTTATTTTACAGAACTGAGAAATAAAATCCATATGTATAGTCAGTATCATGTAAAAGAATTGAGAGAGTAAACAAAACTTAACAAAACTTTCCAGAAATTAAAAGCAGTGCCCGATGCACACATCTACTAATAGAGAAAGCTATAGCTTTGGAGAAAATTCTGCTTAAAATGTGTGGAAAATGACTTGTAATAAGAACAGATAGAGGCAGTGGATCCTTTTGAGTAGTCTGTATACAAAAAGTCCAAGGCAGAGTATGTCATTGGCTCTAAGAAAAAACAGCATGCTAAAGGCTAAGGTTCATGTTTCAATATTGTAATGTAGCATTGGAGTTAATCTTTGTGCAATATATGGCAAAAGGAGCATTACATATGCTGAAGAAGATAACAATTGCTAATTAGCCAAGTTGCAAATGATGCTGAACCCCCCTCCCTTTTATATTGTATGCTTATCTTTCTGTCTTACCCCCTCTTACACTGGAAGTATGCTTAGTATGTGGACTTTGCAAAAGAGATGTCAGTGACATCATTGTTTTTCCATATTCATTTTCTGACGCTCTTACAGTGGCAGCTCTTTACTCCTGTAGTGCAGAGATTGTTGCTGGTTAGTCTTTCATTTCTTCAGTACTGTTACTAAGCTATTGAAGAAGATATCCTAGCAGCCAGGCTAGTTATGCTGTGTGCTGGTGTACTGGAAAAGGCTGCAGGTCTTCAGATTCTTGTGGGTCATGCTTAAGAGCTTTTACTCAAAAACTGGCAAAGTAAGATGAGGAAGCTAGCAAGGGTCTGAAAGAACTAATAGCCATGACAGGTTATTAAGTAACCTGAAGCTGCTTACAAATCACTTGAATGATGTTAAGTGCCACCTTAAGCAGCAAGTGGAAACCAATGCTAGGCAATGAATGGTTATTCAGAAAGACTTTTTATTGAAGAAAACAGATATAAATGTATCAGATGAGCACAATCAATGTCAAAATGCACCCGATTTGGATGTCTTTCCAGCAAAACCAGATGTATTGGAATTAACCCTTTACATGACTACTTTATTTGCTGGGTGCAAACTTGAATATGAGTAAACATGTTCTCAAAGTACTTTTACCAGACAAGGAAAGAGAGATGCTTTTGGCTTCCTCCCTTTGGCTCAGCAGAAGCAACTGCTCCAACTGCAGGAGAAAGTAAGGATTGCTTACTAAATAGAACACTGTGTTTGCAGCCAAATGCAAGGGCAATTGACTAAACTTTGAATGTGTTCTTACAGTTTCAAAGTCTCATTTTTTGGCAGTTTGCAGAAGGCCAGGAGTTCAATGCCCAGGTTTCAGAGGCAGAAATTCAAGGAAGGATGCCAGACTTTCAGTGCAAGGAATTCAGAGTTTCAGGCACCTAGCAGTGACTGAAAAGACTTTGAATAAATGATGGTCTAAATTGAAAGTTCAAATCAAATCTGCAGAGACCGTTGAATAAAGCTTTATGAGGCTTTTTTTCCAGCAGTTAGCAGTTTGAAATTTAAAATACTGATCTTGTAAAAGAATATTGTTCTACTCTGTGATACAATCCAATTTTAGCCATTACAGTTGGTCGTGTCATTGCCATTTCTGAATGACTGAGGAGTCTGTACATTTTTCATTCTTCCCGTCTTCCCCTTGGCATTGGTTTTGCTTCATCCACTTGTTCAATCTTGCATCTTGAATGCTAATGCTCTGTAGAGCTTACAATCTGCTTGTATGGTGGTTAACATAAGAAGTCTCCAATGTAATTATTTTCTTGATGATGTTGTATTGTTACTATTCAGTAATTTGTAGAGGAACAAACAATATTTTTCTTTATTCTCACATATTTAAGTATGGCTATGCTATGCTGCCCCGAGTATTCCTGTCTATTAGGATAGAACTGAAATTGGCTTTTGTTAGCTTTAGATAAATAAGCATGAGAACGTTAAGATGTAAAGGCAGAAAATGTGGTAAAAATCACTAATGAATGTTTCAGTTCCTTTTTTCTCAGCTGAGTAAGTAAATTAATGTTACCCATTTTTTACTCTCTTTCTCTTGGAAGCTTAATGAAAAGAGGAAAACTAGTATCTTGTTTTTGATGAAACTCCTTTAATGCAACTTCATAAATTCACATCTCACAGGTTCTATAATGTAAACGCCCAGATCAAGTTGGAAAGGATGTGCGAGTGTTGAATTCTTTTCCATTCTCCTGAATATGTTCACCTAGCTTTAAGTATGTGCATTAGAATGTGTTGCCACTATTTAGCCTTTAAAAACTGAAGAAGAAGAAAGAGGTGATTTGGGGTTTTTGTCCCTTTTCTAGCATCAGCCAGCCAACTTTATTTGTGCTTACGCACGTTGCTGTTTTTCTCTGAAGAGCAAGTCTACTGAAGCCTCAGTTTGGATGCCTGGAACCTCAGACCTTGAAATCTGATCTTTGGTTTTATCAAACTTGAAATTCATGTTATTTGCATCACGGCTTTGGATGTCTGGACTGTTTGAATAGTTTTGCATCTTTAAACTGTCTACTGTAGTGTGGTTTCGTTCTTCTGGGATTTGAGATCTGACAGTAATTCAGTGTTTATTATTTAAAAAAAAAAATTGAAGATGGAAAGAGGTACAGTCTTATGTTTAGGAAGTGGTCAATCACAAGGGCATTATTATCTCTTTGAGGACTTTGGCTCTGCTGAGAAGTGATAGCAAATTATCAACAGAAAAACACTTCTGGTGTGCTTATTGCTTTTTGATTATGATCAGCAGGATGGAATTTTGAAGGTTGAACCAAGTGACACGTCAGAGTTCAGCAACGTGTTCTGGGGTGTCATCATGAAGATTTTTCAGAATGTTTTAAAATACCAGCAAATTGTCTTGAAAGCCAAGGAAGATTTTTCTGTCAGTCTAAGCCATCCCTAAAGCCAGAATATTAAAATGTCAAAGCAAAGCCAGAACAGGAAAGGAATGGGAGCTCCCAATGGTATATGTTTCTCTTAATCTACTGCAAGCGTGCAGGAAACTTGATTGCTTCCTTTCTTCCATTTTTGGGATGATAAATGTGTTCCTTTGGGGGGAATTTATCTTAGTTTCTTCCTCTTGCTCTTGGAGAGAACACCGTGTTCTTAGTCAAGTGAATTGATTTCCCTGCTGTCATTTCTTACCAAAGATGGGCTGTTTTGTTAACAAACCGTATTAAGTTCATTGTTTGTTTTCTGCCTTCCTTCTATTTCAAGCTGCTGAATGGGCTTCTGCAAATTCAGTCCTGTCACAGTGCTGAAAATCTTGTATTTGGAATTTGAGTCAGTCCTAACATGGAGGAAGCACTTCAAAATTGTGCTTTAGAAGTGTTCAGAATAAACTTCATTGTCTGATGAAACAGTTTTGCAATTTATGAAGTATATTGTTACCATCACTGGAGTCTGATGATATGTTTTTCTAACTTAATCTCTCTCTGTTTCAAACAGTATAGAATCTTTAGTGCAGAATTTGCTCCCCTTTTGTGAGGAAAATGACAAAGCATTTAGAATGAAGAAAACAGGACATTCATAGGTATATTTAATTATTTGCAGCGACAAAAAATTGAACAGCACTACCCCTCAAAAAAGGAAGAAAAAAGCCGCAGCCTAACTTACCTATATTTGTTTGTTTATTTATTTATTTATTTATTTTCATCTAGACCGAATCGATACCTCCTTCATGACTTGGTAGAATACATCTATGCTGTTTCCTTCCGAACCTTTTTTCCATATCCACTTCCACGTCCTCTTTATCAGTAAGTGGAATCCTTCACTAAGAATTTATGATCCATCGAGTAGCATAGAAATATAAGTAACTATTGCATTAGTCATTTAATATTAAATTGACAGTGTTATTAAATAAATAATGTAGGATTGAGAAGACTGGCTTTCCCTAAGTACTTGTTAGTTAACTTTGAGTCTTCTGCTCAGCAACAAGTCTGCCCATTATGAAGTAGTGTATTAAATGTGTACTTGTAAAAGACTTAACAAAACTATTTATTACAGAGTTATTGAATGGCCTTGCTTTTGCTGAATCAAGAAGTAAATGGTCCTAAGTATAGACTATTAGTAGCAAATTAAGTGAACTTTTAATCATACCACAGAGAAAAATCTGTGTGTCTACTTTTGACTGTAGGTTCTGACAGATTTTTCTACAGCTGCTTAATATGTTCTTAGTGTCAGCTCTCCTTCTGGTCTGTTGAACACTGCCATCCTGGAAGCAGAATTGGTATAAAGATGTGTATGTGTGTATCTTGACTGTTCTAGTTTAGTCCTTTGATTTGAACCCGTGGTGGAGGTAAGTTTATATTGAGATGCTGGCCTGGGAATTTGAGCAGTGCAGTTGTGAACACACATTTCTTTGTCATCTGTGAAATGAGGGTAGTAACATCTTTAGAAGATAGTAATAAATGGGGAGGCAGTAAGAGAAAGGTGTAGTACCACTTCAGATGACTATAATAGATGTGTTGTGAAGATTGAGTTTGCATGCACTGAACTTTGTCTGCAGTTGTACATCTTACCCTCTTGGGGCACTGGGATGGTAAATGAGAGGAGAGACTGATCTGCTAAATCATGACGACTGAGTAACAGTGCATGAAAAGGTGCAGTATAAATCTGAGTCTGGGCTTAGTCCTTAAGGTATAATCAGATATCCTTTTGGAGAGCTACCTTGAGCACTAAACACCATTTCAAAAGTTACCCTTGGCACTGTTGAGATGTGTTGATGGTGTTGGGTGCTGGTCCTCCTCTGTGTTAGTACAATGTAAGTTACCTAGCTAAAAAAGTTACCAATGTTAGAACTCTCCAACCACTCTTCTAATGGGTCTCCACACTGCATTCGTGTAACTGATGATGAATGATACTAGAACAACATCTTAAACTGTTGTGACTGTCCTGAAGAAATTGGCCATAGACACATCAGTAGCTTAACATGGCTCAGGTGACCCAGGAGAGCTTGTTGAAAAGTAGCTATGTGGCTGCTTACCCTTCTTATTAGTCTACATTCTCTTCAGGCCAATTTAAGCCTTTTTCTTTGTAGGCTAAACTAAGTGATATTTCATATTTTTGAGGAAAGATGTATCTAAGGCTGACAGGCCTATCTCTCTTTATGTGCAGTAACTTAATTGTCTGAGCTCCTAGCCTGCTAGGTGAGCGCTTCAGTAAGAGATTCTACCTTGAATACTGTTGGTCCTGAGACACTGAAGAAAAATTGTTATATTATTTTCTTTTCTCTGCCAGATTTACTTACTTTGAAGGGAAATTTCATTTCTGGAAACTGCAAGTACTCTGATCCTCATCCTTTTTATAGATGCAAATTGCTCCAGATGCCATCATCTTGTTTATATGGCTGTTAAATCATTTAGTTGTCAGCAAGTATGCTTTCCCATGGAGGCAGTGAATCAAAGTTTGTGACTAACTGGATTACTGCCTACACTACTAGGGAGCAGAGTTTGGAGGAGAGGCAGGGGCAAGACAGAACCCGATGGTGTGTGGGAAACTGAAAGGGGAGGTTTACTTTCCCTAACCGCTAAGTTTTACTTCCAGATCTCTGTTCCTCCATTCCCTTCAGAAGTGGAAGAATAGGGCATTGAAGAATTTGGAAGCAAAGTTAGAGTTACCAGAAATGCGGCTAAGAACTTGCTGACTTCCTTGTTCACTGCTTAAATGAATTCTTAGCCTAGAAGAGCAGCTACAAAATGGGTTCTTGCTCACTCACTGGGCAAATTGAGTCTGAAATGCTCTTACCATTTCTTATTTTCTTGTGTGAGTCTGGATAATAACTATACTTCTACAATACTCTTTCTGGTTACAGTTTAATTGCAAGATGCTTTGAGATTAATCCATTTGAACCATGGTTAACGCGAGACAAAGTGGATCGGGTAAGCGTAGGACATTCCTAAAGTTGTTCTTTGAAATGTTTTGCTGTGTGCTTGTAACTTCCACTTGTAACTTTGCAATTCAAGGAGTGCTGAAATGTGTGCACATTATGTGTTATAGTATTTCAGTCAATTCACTGGCTACAGTAAAGAATTGCTTTCCAACTGTGTGGGCATTTTGCAACAAGTTACTTGCAGCTACTCTTCTGCAATCTCACAATTATCTGTCCAGGCCTGCTACACTGCAAAGGGGATGCACTGTCAAAGCAGTCTGGAAATTCCTCTGGTCTGGTTTTGCAAAGACTTAGCAGGGGATACAGACTAACTTTTTTTTTTTTTTTTTAAGGTATCATTAGGATGTAGTCTTTGTTGCTAGCATTGGTGGAGGAAGAGGAGTTAATAACTTTCTCTTAATATATTTAAGAAAGGTTGAAACAACTGGTGAGAAGGTTATATAGCAAGAAGTCATGTGTCAGGAGAGGACCCATCCTTCCAGATGTTAAAAGTGGTCAAGGCTGCTTGCTTTTTCGAAAAGAAACAAACAAAAAAGCAATATTCAAAACAGAGAAGCCAAAGTAGAGATCCAATGTGCAGCTAACTGATTTTTTTTTTTCTTTCTCTCCCTTCTTGGGGATGGTTGCTCCCCACTTTAGGTAACTAGTGAGTTTATGTACCTCTAGCTGTATTCAAATCGGTAGCATTGTGCTTATACTATCCAGATAATGGAATTTTTAACAACTCAAGTTGAACTAACTGCACTGGTTACCACCAAAATTCATGCTTAATGTTAGACTCCATAACTAAAGAAGAAGTTGCAGCTCCATATTTATTCCTGACTTCTCAGAGTATGTGAGTAGTGGAGTATGTGAACAAGTAAGTTGCAAAAAACATACTGCAAGTAAAGAAAAGGTGGATCTAATAAGTGTCAATGCCAGAACTATTGGCCTCTATGCAGGTTAGCAAAGGTAAAGTTGTGCCCTCTGACACCTACACGCTATGCGTGATATTCTCTGAAATTTGCAGGTACTCCCCCAGGTATTTTGCAAAGTTGAAGTTTTGATTGAAGAATTTTTTTTGTAGAGGTGCAGAACATCTCTACCTCCTACTGAAGTAGATTAGGCACTTAATATCTCTGAAAATTGGGCCATAGTTCTTTAGGGCCATATTGCTTTTTCTTGGGAGGAAGGAAATATTCAAACACCCAAAAATCATGGTCAGGGGTTTGGGGTTGATAAATAGTCAGCTGAGCCCACACTTGTGGTTGAATAGTTCTTCAGATGTAGTACAAGATATAGCAGTGTGTTATATTTTAAGGTTCTTTCTTGGGAGAAACATCTTACCTCAGCAACCTTTATTAAAAGGAGTGTTTCAAATGAAAATCTAAGTACTTGCAGTTGAATCTCCCAGGACCTGCCATTTGTAGAAAATTGTTTTGAGGTATATTAAAATGTTTCTAGTACTAGTGATTTGTGCTAGTTTGTTTCCATAAAAGAAAAAGGTGAACTCAGGTGTAAGTACATAGTATTTTGTAGTAAGTGCATAATTACATTGACTGTAACGCTGTTCATTTGCTCAAGAAACATCCCCTCTCTCTCTCTGTTTTTTTTTTTTTTTTTTTAAAGTTTCACACAACTGACATGACATTTCCTGATCTTCCTGGTCTGGAGGACCTGGATATTCAACCAACACCTCTGGAACAAAAAGCAATTGAAGTTCTGCGCCGTCACCGCAGATACCGCTGGTTGGAGGCTGAGCTGGAGGAAGCAAAGCCAGCAAAGACATATCCCATGTAACAATTGCCAAGGCAGTTACTCATGCTTGTTAAACTGCCTTTCTATGACCTAGTTTGGAGAACTGTGTACATACTGAGTAAAATCTGTTAATCACGTAAACTGTATTTCACTAGTGTTATTGTCTCGGTTTTAATTATGGCAGAATTTCAGTGATGTGTAATACTTCTCTTTAAAAGGTCTTAAAGCAAATTTGCATATTGTTCCTTAGTTTGTGAGCATTAAAATATTGAGGTGAGGGACAATATGTCATAACTCTCGGTCAGTTTCTCCCTATGCTCTCAGAGCAAGCCTTTCACTGGGTTTTAGTAAGTGCTCTCTTTAAATGATTTGAAAAAAGTTACAGTTGAAAACTATGTGGACTGGAATATGTCTTTTCCGATAGGCAGAGCCAGTTCTGCCACCTATTCAGATTATCAGGCATGAAATAAAACCATTTTCTTAGTTGCTCTTGACTTTTTGAGCTTTGTTTTCCATCTTCCCTGAGCTGAATTATTATTAAAAAAAAAAAAAAATCAACCAAAACAGTGTATGATGTTTCTAAGATCAAGGAAGGTGGATTAGATAAGCAAACAAGTTACATACAAACTGCATATCAGCTGGTCTCTTGTGATAATTCTGTGTGCTGTGGCTCATAAGCATGAGGAAATGTGTAATTTCCCCCATTTTTGAATCTGAGAATCTCATTATTTTGAGATGCTCAAAGCTTTTGTGTGTTGGGGCATTGCCTTGATTTTTGGCAAGGGAGATGAGCTTTGTTTCAAAGTTGAATAATTATTGTTATTATTAAAGATCAAAGAAAGAAACCTGCCTGACTTTGACCAAATACTATTTATTTATCCAAAGGCAAGTTGGAGGCTTTTGGTTAAATTTTGACAGTGGCACCATTAGGTATGCTGGAGGACAGAGTAAGATTTGTGCACTGGACTGAGCAGAGGTCTGGGTCTTCTGTTTTTAGTGCAATCTTCTGATGGCTCCAAGAAAAGTGAAAGAAGAAATTTCTTGAACCAAGGAGGGAGCTGCTAGTTCTGGGAGAAGGCAAGTTGCATTAACTAGGATGAGCTGAGATTGGTGGGAAATCTGGTTTTAATTGGGGCTGGGAGAGAGAGGATGCAGCGAGTGACAGAACATCTTGTGTTTTCACTATCACGTTTCCTACTGTTTGCCTCTGTTGGATGTGACGTCAGGAGAGGAGGAACTGGGATAAGATGGACAAATGATCAGGGTATCAAAGGTGGAGATAATGGTGGTGGAGAAACCTGAAATGGAGACTGGGGCTGAGTAAGTGATTAAAATGGAGCATGGTAGGGGGGGAGAGGAGCAGATGAGCAGATTGAAAAGAATAAGGGCAAAGAGGTTAGGGGAAGGAGCACAGAAGTCTCTCCATTGCATCAGTCATTGATGAAGCCACAGATCAGAATCTCGGTTTCTCTGCTGTCAGTGAACTACCCTAAAACCATAGGCAAAATGTTTATTTAATTTCAGCGGTGCCCCATGCTGCTCTTGGTCGATGTACAATCTACTTCTGATAATGTTTACACTTCTGGGAGGAGGCGGGTTCATGTGATACTGTGAATTTTCTGATCCTGCCTACTTGTATTGGCTTTCATGGATTGTTTATTTCTTTTTTTCTTTTTCTTTTTTTGGGTAAGGTAAGTTCACTCACTTTAAAAATAAGTTTGCCAAGTCACACATTCAAAGGCTAGCAAAAACCAGAAGTAAAGTGCATATTGTTAGGTTGATGCTTAACTGTTTTTGTGATTTTTTTTTTTTTTTTAAATACTCGATTGCATGTGTTTTCCATAGAACCCAAACTTTAAATGGCCTTGTTTGAGCTTATTATATGTGGCCTATACTTGATTTACTGGATGTTATTCAAATTCTGCTGTGAAAACTGTAGTGTTTTCTGGATTGTCTTGCAAGTGCCACATGGAGTACAGAAATACCCAATTATCATGATATTCATGTGTGGATAACAGACAGTTTCCGTTTTCAAATGGCTAACTGAGGTAGAAGGAGACTGCCAAAGGCAATGCTCTACTGTTGTGAGTAGAATTTGAAATAAATTACTATTCTGAGAATGCTTACCATAACCTGGTGACTTTTTTCCCCCATTTAAAGTGCTGCTTTTTCAGTAACTTCATTTGCTGCATAGAGAATAATTCTGAATCTTAATTCAGACAGCCGCTAAATAGAGAACATGCAGGTGATGAATAGCCATGAAAAGGATTAGGTTTAAGCAACTTGCTCCACACCAGATGGAAATGCTAGTAAGAGGAAGGTCACAGAAGTGTTCAGCTGCTATTGCTGAAAGTCTTCAGTTTTCCACAATATTTTGCCTTACATAGCACTTCTGTTTCCTTTCTTGCAGAAGCTGCAGTATTATTTCTCATTATTTACTCCTCTAGAGCATTCTTTCTAGGGCATAGGGTTCTTAAATGTAAAAGTTACATTTTGTAATACAGTCCACAACATAACATGCAAGGGGAACAAATTAAGCTGCATATGAAGCCTTAACTCTGACATTTTCCATCTTTGGAAGTCTGATACTGCAGCCTCAGTGGTGATTTTTTTAAAAAAATATATTTAACTTTTATTTGTAGATGAGGCATCCAAGTGTTCCTAGAGGGATGGCTTCTTTTTTTTAATGCAGATGGCCATGTATTTCTTGTGTTGTGAAGGCTCTTCTATTGTGAATGTAGCTAAGTTACCTGACACCTATGGTTTCAGACAGTGGGGGCAAACCACGTGTATAAATTCAATAGGATTCATCAGTGCTGTGTGTTGTATTATGCAATCTGTTTCTTCCATTACTTAAAATCCTTCAGTGCCTTCATCATCTATCAGTTTTATCCCAGTTGGTTTATGGCTTTCTGGCAGTTGCTATCACTTGGATTTAGAAAAAATGTTTCTGGCTGAGAAATGTATAGCATCAATAAAGAACCTTTTAAAGACAGAATCATCAGCACGTACTTCTTCATATGTTTCTGGTAGAATGTGAATAGTGCCCTTGCTAGGGATCAGAAAACCAGTGTCCTATTCTCATCCGTGCCCTTGCTTTGATATGCAAGCATCTGTTTCTGTGGCTGGAGAAGTGAGAGTCTTTTTGTGGTACGTAATTGTCTAAATCTTTGAAGAGTGCAGGGAGATACCTAAGTCTCTCTGAAGACAGAATGAGCGTGAGAGAGAAATGATTGGAGAATAAATAAAATACTGGCTTGTTTTTCAATCTTCCTCAAAACGAGCTAGATTCTAAATAATACCTAGGTGGCAGGGAGTTTTCATTGAGAGAAGAGAGAGAGAGAAAAAAATATATAAAAATGCATATGAAAATTCCCATGATGAAAGGAGGGGACATAATTTAGGTTCTCTTGCTATTCAATTTTATTTAAAATTGCTGGATACATGAACGAATAAATCTCTGTCCTGGGCCAACAGAAGTCTGTCTAGCTCAGTATCTTGTAACTGACAAAAATTAATAGCAGATTCCTAGAGAAACATACTGCAACAGAGCAATTAGAGTGATGCTTCTTTGGGTACCCTCTCCCAACTTCCAGCAGTTTGTAGCTCTAAGTCTTCCTGAACTGGACATCTAGTAGTTCTCAGTGGACTGATCCTCCATTTATTTCCCAAATTACTTTTTAAATCTTAAGCAAACTTGCATCATCCTTTAAAATGTGGATCTGCAAATTGAGGACGTACTGCATGAAAAAATATTTCCTCATTTTCAATGTTTCATTTGATTGACTGCATTTTGATGATCCCTTTCTCTTCTGTTTTCAAGCTTGAGGAGATAATGGTTGCCTATTTGCTTTCTCTTTAACTGTTTTGAATCTATAAACTATGTCTATTCTCTTTTTTGTCTAAGTCCTCTATGTTTTCTTGGTCTTACATAGCAGCTGCTGTATTCCTTTTTGCCCTTTGCTGTCTCTTTTTTTTGGGCCTGTTGTATTCTTTGTCTGATTGGGGCGGGGGGAGATGTAACTGCACACAGCGTTCAAGAGGTATGCTAATTGTAGAGTTACAAAGTGGGGCAGTGATGTTTTCCTGCTTTGTTTTGTATTCCTTTTCTAATAATTCCTAACATCCGATATGGTTTTTTTTTTTTTTTTGACAGCTACTGAGCACTGAACTAATATTTTCATAGTACTGTTTACAGTACTGCCAAGATCACTTTTTTTTTTTTTAAAGTAGTAGTATCTCATTTAGAACCTGTCAGGATAAAGTAGTGCACATGGAAAAAACATTAACATTGAATTTCATCTGTAATTTTATTCCTACTCATTTATCAGTGAGAGGATCTTCCTTCTTACTCTCTCTCTAGTTTCTTAGCTTGCAGCTGTTTTCTTGCCAAGTTGCAAAGTAATAAAAGTTCTTTAAGCAGGTGGAATTTAGAGGCAGGGATTTGGATGCCTTTGAAAGGGAAGTTGTTCAAAGCAGTGGCGTGTTATTTTCCGCCCTTTCCACAAGAGGACACTGGTACAGCAGAAAGTGGCAGTGGTCTTCAGGCACGCTAGTCACTTCTACTGTTTGCTGTTGTCTCCTGCTCGGGCTTTGAAATTTCTAAACTCTGTTTTTTTGCCTGCATACGGGCAGAAGGCTGCCCAGAAAGGGGTTTTCAGGTCAATCCCCAAACTGTGCATGGATAAATTTAAATACAGTGTTATAAAAATTGTACATGGTACTGGTACCCAGCACTGGGAGGAAAAGTGCTTTGGTCCTTTCCCGTTACCTAGTGTAAATGTGTATCCATCATTTGTAATGGGAAAGCTATAGCATCCTCTGGGAAAAATAGTAGCTTGCTGTAGAGTGTCACCACATTAATCTGAACTGTAGCCTACCTTCAGCCTGCTCTGCTTTCTTGTGGGGAAAGTAGACTTGGCAGCAGCTGCCTGTAGACCAGCTGAATTGTGTTTGCCTGGTTCTGTGTGTGTATGTACATGCATATATTTATACATAAATATACAGATGCATGCACATATATGTGTGTGTATGTACACAATTAGAAGGTAGCGGTTAAGAACCAATAAGGGGTGAGGAAGCGGGAAAAGCAATCACAGTGGCAGTCATTTTATTTGTATGTGTCTTAGTAGATATACATGCATGTATGTATATATGCACACACATATGCATGTAGTTGTCTATGTATATACACACACAACTTTGGACAATGTGGTGGAAAGTATGCACTTCCTTTATACTGAGAAGAAAGAAGGAAGTAGTGCATAGGTGTCATTAAAACATCACTTCTCACTCTTGATACTCAGCTAGAAAGGAAGGAGAGGTTGACAGTTCTGAAGAATGTAGCTGCTTTGTTCATATGATGTCTTTGGGCAGATTTTGGCTGGTGTGGAGAGAAATTGCAAGAAGCAGGAGAATATTCGGGAGGGGAAGCATGCTACAAGTAATGGTCTTATTCATATCATTTAGGGTATTTCTATAGTTTTGTTTGATGTGGGAAATATTGATAATCCTTATCCTTTAGTGGAAATGTAATCTTTAGTGTAACTTTTCAGTATGAGAGGAGGCGGGTGTGGAGGGAGGAGAAAGAGATAGCAAAAGCAGAAAACTTAAAGGGACCTAATTTGCTTGTAGAGGTCCCTAAGCATGTAGGACTGGAAGATACTTGTGTCTTAAGAATGGCATGGCAATAAGTAGAAGTAGTTTCTGCATCTAAGGATGGAGAGCAGGATTTGGGCTTGGTTTCTTATGTATCCTAAGCAGAAAGGACTCTGTTTTGGACTTATTGCTAATTGTGTTTATTCATGCTGAAAATGTGAAAACTTAACTTACACTGTTTTGTAGTGT